TTTTCTTATGGTGGATTTTCTGTTCTGTAAAACGCAGATTTTTCAGTCTCTTTTATTTGAGGCTTGGTTTCTAAGAAGTAAACTTCTTGTGCCTTGCACAGAATTGCATAACCAGTTATCAAAGCCGCGTGTTGGTTTTCCAAAGGAAAAAATTTTATGGCTCAAGCATTAAATATGCAAAATTTGATTAACTTGAAATAGATTTAAGGCCAGAATGACTTACAAATCGTATTGACTGCAAAATTGTCAATATTCGTTGTGCACTAATTTTTGTAGTTTGCCTGGATAGGTCAATCCGTAAATTTAAAATCTACCGAAATTTCATGATTATTTTGCATCATATCATTTACATTTTAAACCTTTTGGAAAAATAAACAGTCCACAAGTTTAATTACCCTTGAGAATGTTCCTTGTGCAGAACCACAAAATTTCATATCCACGAAAGTGAATTCACAATATGTGGTATCTATTGTTCTCTCGATGCATGTACATTTTTTTCTCTTCTCAATAGTATAACTGTAGGATGATAATACATGATTTATGAATGAAAAATATTTTAATTATAATTTATGCGTGAAACAAATGATTACATAATGAGAGATTTGTTTGTGTATGGCAGATCTTAACATCGTAAATGACAACATGTAGGGCTTAGATTTGATATGTGACGGTCTTGAACGGAAAAAAATATTTTCTTATTTTTTTATTTTTTTTCTTTATTTTGCATTGTCATATAACAATAATTTGCATCAGCGTTTGACAAAGTTAGACATAAGAGCATTATTTTATAACGGTATTTTGATTAATTTATTGTTCCTTTAAGCAAGTATCTTTGTAGATTGAAATAAAAGGTCACGGCAGTTTAAACTCGCGCGCTCAATTAGCGGAAATATTTACTCCTTCGCAAACAGATACAGTTAATTAATTCATAGAGAATAATTTGCATTAATTTTTAGCTCGACTTTTCTATGAAAAGGGGAGCTATCCTACTCGCCCCGGCGTTGGCGTCGGCGTTGGCGTCACACCTTGGTTAAGTTTTTCGTACCACCCCACTTTATTTCAGAAGTATTACAAGTATGGCTTTGAAACTTACCATACTTGTTCACCATCATAACCTCCATCTACAGACAAGAGTACATAACTCTGTCAAGGTTTTTGACAGAATTATGGCCCTTTTTTGACTTAGAAAGTGTATTGAGCTTGGTTAAGTTTTTTGTACCACCTCACTTTATTTCAAAACCATTGGAGGTATTGCTTTGAAACTGACCATACTTGTTTACCATCACGACCTTCATCAACAGACAAGAGGACATAACTCTGTCAAGGTTTTTGACAGAATTATGCCCCTTTTTGACTTAGAAAATACATTGAATATGGGTAAAATCCACTTATTGCCTTAACCCTTTGAGATATTGCTTTGAAACTTTTAATGCTATTTCACATCATTACCCCCATCTGTACGCAAGAGAAGGTAACTCTGTCAAGGATTTGTTTTAAAAATTAAGGCCTTTTATCGACTTAGAATCTTGGTTAAGTTTTTAGTACCAGTCCACTTTTTGACTGAACTGTTTGAGATATTAATTTGAAAGTTGGAATACTTGTTTACAATCATGATTCCCAAACATGTCCAGGAGAAGGTAATTCTGTCAAAGATTTTATTTGAATTATGGCCCTTAACTGTCAATGTTTTGTATTATAGGCAAGCACTAAAAAACTTAAAAAATCTAAAAAAATTCATTCCTATCCACTTGTTCACTTTACCATAAATTATGTCATATAAACATTGCTGTAATATTCAAGGGTATCAAACAACTAGTTCACTTTAAAAATACAGAGATTCTTGTATTGCCTTTTACTGCAAAAACTTTTTTTATTGGCAAGCAATAAAAAAGTCGAGCGCGCTGTCTTACGGACAGCTCTTGTTAATTAATTATGCTAAGGTGTGGGTTATGCATTATGATTATAAAGCCTTGTAGAAGTGAAAAAAAATCTCCCAGATAAGTAATGGCTTTCAATTACCAGTGCATGTTTCATCTTATAAGTCACGTTTAGAACCCACGCTTTGTAATATTTTAATAAATTAACTTTAATGAAGAGAGCCAGACATATGATATATAAATTATATAATACATGTAGAGCATGCGTTTTGTTATTTTGCTTTTTTCTGACAGCGAGGGTTACAGGGTTACAATATAAGTGAAGATATTCTGTAACTTTTCTGTTTTCTTTAATCTAGGTGTTGCATCCACGTGTTTTGGGAGTTTTTTTCTTTATATTTGACATAATTTTGTGTACACTTTGTATCAATACCCAACCACGGACTTTGGATTCTTTCATGTGAGAAAGCTTAGATGTAAGCCTGTATTCCATTTTTATGGTCATGAAAGATCAGTGGTTTTACTCATTAGCCTTGACTCATTTGGCTGATGTGCCTGAAATTAAGTGCACATGGTCATTAAAGCACCTGAGGTCTTCCTCAACCAGAAATGCTGAAAAGTTGCCGTAATTGGACTTAATTACAGTGTCTGAGTTAATAAAAAATATAATCAAGCTAGAAAGTTGGTGGTTGTTGTTGTTAGTTCTTCATTTTTGTGGTTATTACACAACAGGTTTATATTTGATTCATTTTTAATGACATAATGATTCTTGTTCAATTGATTTATTATGACAATTATCGTTTTTTCATTAAAACTTTTACTTTTATATTAAAAGGAGGAAGTGGATCTCGAAAATAAAAATGAGTAAGAGGAATATGATATGATAATAATAGTATGATTTCAAACATGATTTTGATAAAAGTGATAAACATAATTGTTGTAATGAAGTAATATCCTAGGATGGCGGTGTAATCAGGATTTTAATGAAAGTGATAGACAACAGTTTAAAAAGTGATTAACATGATTTTTTTTTTTTTAAAGTGATGAACATGATTTTTTCTGGGGAATTGATAAACAGTTCTGTAAAATACTATGATTTATGAAGAAGTGTATTAAGATTTTGATAAAAGTGATTAACAATATTTTAATGTAAAGGATAAACATGACTTTATAAAGTGATAAACATGATTTTTGTGGAAATGAATTATGTTAAAGTGATGAAAAGAGATCAATTTTATGTCATTTAGAGTGTAAATTATTTCAATAGATGTGAAAAACATAATTTCTGTGAAACAGTGATCAACATGATTTTTTTTAATTAAAGTGAAAGAATTATTTCAATGTTAAAGCAGTTATTGAAGGGTATTGAAAGAAATGATAATAATTAAGCTTCAGTAAAAGATAATCATTTTAAATAGAAGTGATAAACATAAGATGATTAAATGTGATAAACACATTTCTATTTATAAATGGATGGCAAGGAGTAACATGGCCTGTCATGTATGATTCATTGAAAACATAATATTCATTAAATGATAAACCCTTGATGATAAACCCTTAAAGGCCCACTATGTCTCAGATATGCTACAATTTTTATTTCTTAATTTTTCTTAAATTTTTAAAAAAAATTATTATTATTTTTTTTTTGTTGTATCTTTTTACAGTTTAAAAAAAATACTTACTTGCCACAAAAATGACATATCTTTTGCTTCTTTCGCTATGCATGTTGGTGATAGGTATTATAGTAGTGAATAAATTATTTTGTATGGAAGTCAAAATACTAGTTTGTTTACATTTTGCTACCTCTATGAGAAATAACTGCACATTCAGCGCTGCATTCTTTTGTTGTTACACATCTAACATGCTCTATAAATCCATTATTAAAACATAATTTAACACATGTTTCACATGTCTAATGAATTTAAAAAAATTGGATTTCTGAGGCATGATGGTTACGTTAGATCTAATTTTAATTTTCAAGCATTTTACATATTTTTATCTGTAAATATCACACTATATTGCAGAATGATTTTTCTTTGCAATACCCAGTCCTTGGAAGAATGATTCTTGCATAGCAGAATGGCGTTTCCATGAGCTTAATACCCATGCCAGAAATTTCATCTGGCACCCCCCATGCCAGATGAGTCACGTGCCATACAACAACATCATTTTAGAGCATTTTTTGAATGAGACCGTGTAAAAATGACGTCATTTTAGAAGGGAACTTATAATGTGCTTAGGATAACGTCATTTCGCTGTTGTTGTTAAAGTTGTAAATTCATATTGTCAGATAATAGTTATGGATGAAATGACATTTATTTCCATGATCAAATATCTTTTTGAGGTAAACCATTTTAAATATAAAATAATTTGGTAAAATATGCAAGAAAAAATATCTGACATATGTTTGCTGCTCAAAGATCGGAATATCCGTGCCTCAGGAACCCGCCCATGGGCGGTATTTTTGTTACTCGGCAAGCCTTGTTGCCCCCCAATTGGCGGGGTTACGTCGGGATGGATATTCTGATCTGAACCGCAACATATGACAGATATTTATAATTACGTTTGAGTACTCTGAAGTACAGAAATCGATCGGGTCATGTTGCCTTCCCTTACTAGTTGATGATATCATATTAAGATCTAAGCAACTGTCAAACAGCATGTTGAAAGTGAAAAGCTCAACATTGAGTTCTATAAAATATGTTACATTATTTTATAGATGAATAAAGATCTACAGCTGTGTTTTAACTAGCTACTTCAATATCAACTTTTGTCATTATTATAAAGTTATAGGACACAATTGGTTTTGAATTATTAATATTTTGTGCAATGGATTATGCAACAGTTCTGTGACATTATTTGTTTTGTTTTTTTATATGTAAAATATGGCTTACACGTTTGACAAGGCAGGTTCAAACTCTGTCAGGGGCAAGCGGTTGTTTCCTTGAGCGAGAAACTTTACATTCATTGCTTAGTACTGGTTGGTTCCAAGAACAGATTCAAGAGTGTTTAAATAAGCTTATAGCTTCCAACACAATTGAACTAAAATAAATATGTATAGACTAAAGAGAATCAAAGTATAAGTTTGTGGTATCTTTAACATTATTGTGTTGTATTTTTCAGATGAGTCTAGACGGTGTGGGCTTCTAACATGCGTCGTTTAGACAATGAACAGTTCAATAATGAAGGTTTAACACCAGAGCATATTGGTGGGCAGACTATCAACCCACTGCAAAGCATGATGGGAGGTCAGGGTCAGGAAGGTCACATGACCAGTTCTGGTATGGAGGCCGCATCAGCTTCGATCTCGATAAATGTGTCGTTATCGATGTCACAGGAGAACTTAAGCTCTCATCAGCAATTGTCAGAGGGTGCGGAGTCGGTGATAAGATCGAGACAAAATTTAGGCAATATGCTGTCAGTTGGAACGAAATTTGTTCCGCAAGCGAAGAGTTTCGAAAGTGCCTTATCAAATGATGGGCAACGCCAAGGGCAGTCGCAAGAAAAATCAAAACAATATTTCGCAAATACTGCGCATAGCTTTGAAAGTACACTCCCGCGTTATCAGAGTTTTGATCAAAGTCTAGATACACAGAGTGAAAGTGTTTTCTTAGAACCTATGATACCGGAAAAATCGGGACTTAGTGCAAATAAATCAAAATATCATTCTGAGTCAGGCAATGTGTTAGAAATACCTATTGGTTTAGATAGACGTAGGCACAGCTTTGGTGGTAATGAGGAAAGATTGGAAGCAAGTGTATTTACGATGAGACATTCTAGTTCTGGAGAGGAACCGAGGCGTGTTTTGAGAAAACAAATTGCAATAGATGTTGAAGAGCCAGTAAAGTTGGACTCTGGGAAATTTTCTCCACGAGCATCCATTACAGCTGAAGAGGAAAAACGTGTTCTGTCGCATTATAACATTGACACCTATTCATCATCTCGGCAGATATCCCAGCATCAACATGTTACAGTCATTAGAACGCCCCCTGGTGGGGTTGTTAGGGGAACTCATTCACCATCAGCTTGGGGTACTGAACGAGATTGTGTCTCTCATGAAAGCGAAATAAATCCAAATTACAGTGACATACAAAATAAACCAAAAATCAACATCATATCAAATGAGTCCACAATCTCACCTAAATTTAAACGATCTCACTACCTAGAACCTAGGGACACTTTACGTGTACAAAGAGGATTTTCTAGCGGGTCAGAAGATTCTCCAGGAACGAGTAGTAGCCGAGAACCCTCGCCTTTTAGGAAAGAAACAGTTCGCGCAGTATCTCCGTACAGCAAAGAAAGATACAAATTGTCGACGCCAACTCCGGTGATAAAAACACAAGTGAAGAAGGAAGCTTCTGAAATTGGCTACGAGTTGACCAAGCAGAGTTCGTCAGGGTCATCTGATGCTGGTTCTAGTTCCGGTCCTACATTCCCAGAGTATTGTGCTAATATAGTAATTACTAGTGAAACTGGCGAAAGCATAAAATGTAAAACTGAAGACGTTGAGATTCCGGAGGGAATGCATCGTAGACATTTGCATCCGGGAAATTTTAAGAAACACTTACACGCTCGTTATTTAAAGAGTTTACGGTCACGCTATTCCTCATCATCCACGGACACTTCACAAGAGTATTTATCTCAAGAAAGATCTGATTCATGTAATCGTTCCTCTAGTGAAGTGTTCGATAGTACAGAGAACGACAGTTTTAACAAGGACGCGCATTTAAGGCCAGCTTATATCATTCGCAATGGAAGTTCCGATAAAAGTGATGACAGTGATGTACAAATGGGTTCAGTGATCAAACCACCTCAACGTGCTCAGTTGCAGTCTCCAAGCACCGAACAGCAACCGCTAGATCTCTCACAAAGTCTGCCAGAGACATATACACAAGGTTTAGGAGAAGCTACAGGCCCAAGTCCTGGGGCAAACCTCGGACATTCCTTGTCAGTAGATGCTCCAAGACAGCATGCCTCTCTCGGTTTGAGCCCTCATGGTCTGGCAGCACGATCGCCTTTAGGTCATCATGCACATAGTGATCCGGATTTGCTCAGCCCATCTATGATACGTGCAAGTTCTCCTTCTGTGTTCCAAAGGTCGCCGCACCTTCAACCGCAATTAGTGCAATCCCCACAGTCACCATTGTGTTCGGTACCAGAAGGTGATCGTATATTTCATTTCAACTTTCCTAGTCCATTTGAAGGGGCCCATATACACTCGGATCCTGAGAATTTCGGCACACCTAGTCCTATGTCACCGGGTCTTCATTTTACATTTCCTCCTCGTGCGGCATTAATGAGTGCAAATTCAGAAGTCAATCGACTAGCAGTATCCCCAAGAGCATTTTATCCAAGCCAAACACTACCAATGCATACACCCCCTCATCGAGGACATTCATTATCATATGGAGATGGTCATTTGAAGGAAGCTCGGAGGACATTCTCAGATTCCGATGCATATTTGTGCCCTGTATGCGGCCAGGTGTTTCCATCTTATGACAATCTTGCAAAACACATGGCAAAACATTTACCGACAGAAACTGTTAGAACTGGAGATAACAATAAGATTCATTACTGTAAAGTTTGTAATAGATCGTTTTCACGTAGTGACATGTTGACCAGACATATGAGACTTCACACTGGTTTGAAGCCTTACGAGTGCACCGATTGCGGACAAGTATTCAGCCGTAGTGATCATTTGAATACCCATAAACGTACTCATACTGGGGAGAAACCATATCGTTGCCCACAATGCCCTTATGCAGCATGTCGACGAGACATGATCACTCGTCACATGCGTACACACACTAAACGATCGGCGAAACGCGGAAAATACCTAAGTGTACCGGAAAGGGAAAGTCATGAAGTACGTAAAAGTAGCGTTAGCAGCACTGATACTACTTCAAGTCAAGAAATGACACGGACGTTTTCTGCGTCGTCTGGTGATAGTTTAGATTTAGATGTAGGTCTAGGTTCATCGACATCAAAACTACGATCAAAGTCATTAGCTAGCATGGATAGTACCGACATGGATTTACAGCATACTAAATCTCAGCTTTGGTCAACAGCGAGTACCGAAAGTGGCGTTTTTGAGGATTCGAGTCAAGGTCATTCAAAAGGTCTTATGTTGACACAGTCAAGGTCTTTTGAAGTGGGTCGAGTGAAAAATCAAACTGTATCACAATCACGTTCTTTTGAAAGCAGATTTGAGGGAAAGAAATTTCTCTCAGCTCAACATTTCCGACAAATGAGAAACATTTCTTCGACAAGTTTCGAGAGTTTTGATTCGCACGACGATATTCTGTCCCGGACAGATTCCATCGCGGAGGATACTATATCGGAACTGGGAGAGGTACAACGGGAAGATGGTACATCACAGTTACCCATAGAACCAGAATCTTTAGAGAAATGTTCACTAGCAGAAAAGACGGGTGATAGCTGATTATAGCAGTCTTAGCAATTTTGTTAAGTTTATAGTTAAATTTTTTCCCTATTGTGTAGAATGTATTTTTGTTGTTTATGTTTTTAAAAAAATTGTTTGGTTAGGAAGATAATTATTAAGACTTTATGAAAAACAAACTTTTCATCCATTGTTTAATATTGATAAAATGCACTGCCAAATCAAAACAAAACAGCTTGATGTGAAGGGAAATAGCCTGTTTTTATTTCAACAATTCAGTATGGCATTCCAATTTTGTTTTTGTATTCAATGTTAGCATGTTGGTTTCTGACTAAGGTCCTTGGCTAAATACATAAAATGTTTCATAGTTTCTCCTTGAAAAATTACATTGACAATATCATAGTTTAGATTATACATGTATAAAAGGGTCATAGTTTTTTTTTTTTTTTTAAGGTAAATATTGAATACTACTCACAATTTCAATCTAGTTTTTACAGAAAAAAAATCTAAAATATGTATATTATATAATTTACTGCCAAGTATTGCTTTTGGTCAATCCAAAATTTTGTTTGTAGTATCTTTAGATGGTTTTGTATCAAGTTACCACAAAGGATTTCTTCATGAATTGTGCAAGGGGTATGCCATAGCCAAACAAGGCAAATAAACAACTTTGATTGCCTAAAAAATGAAATAAAAGAAATCAAATATGTACATAAGACAAGCAGATATATCACGATCTAAATTATCAGTACTTGCCTACTTGGCCATTATGGTTATGTTACTTTGTACCAGATGTTATTTTGTTGTGGTATTTTAATACATGCATTTGGCATTTTAAATTGTAGGGCACCTTTAAATGACCTTATTTGGAATGTTATTTTTGTAGTGGGAGAACACATTTTGTAATGTATATAGCCATGACTTAGATTTAAAATAATGCTCAGAAGCTAGCATGTTTATATTTTAAAGGGACTCCACTGAGGTTTTTTTACATGACTAGACTGGAAATAATATTTCAACATTAATGTTTATTTTGATGTAGGTCCATGTTAATAACTTAAGTCCAAAATTTTAGATCATTCTCTCACTGCATTTTTTCCTGGGTAACAATTCTAATTGTGAAAAATGGCCAAAAATTGAAAAACGTTACGCAACACTTTTCACTCAAATAGCGCTATAAACAGCACAAAAATACAAATTTTAAATTATTCCTGAGTATATTTCTTTTTGACTTGCATAATCTTTCTGTTTTAAGTTACCAAGCTGATCAATGTTAGAAATTCAAAGTCTACACTTTAGGCTTTTGGACCTCAGTGGAGTTCCTTTAAGTATGAAACAATTGAAGGGAAAAAAACAACATAGAAACAAGTTTAGATGTCCTATGTATTTTGAAGATAAGCCATATTGTAAGAATGTCAAAGTTGATATTTTAGTAGATTTAATGTGATACTTTAGGGTCATTACAGTACTTTTGGTAAATGAGAGTTTTAGATCACTGGGTTATAAAGGTGCTGTGTGCAAAACTGTCTATACTTGCAATATAATGAATCAATCCTTTTAGCTGAATTAAAATGACCGTCTTATAATGGAGGAGTTTTAATCCATGATTCTATGAAAAATTGATTTTTTTGAAAAAAGAAAAATTCTGAAATTTTTTGTCATTAAGGTCTTTAACCTTTAACTTGCTGAAAATGAAGAAGCCTTTGCTACAAGCATATAACCAGGCCAGTTAGCGCATCAATGTAGTCTAACCAGTGTGAATCTAATTTTAGCTGACTCGGATCAAATTTTTATTTTGAAATGAAAAAAAATATGGTACATGGACTGTTCCAAAAATAGAATCTGGACAAGTCCATTTAAGAAATTCAGATTGTTAAGTGTGAAGAATATCTAAAATACACATGATAATTAGTAGTGACGAATTTTGGTAATTGGGAAAAATCTAGGAAAACTTTGGGGAAAAGGAATGAATAGGCAGTTTATTATATACATAAAGATAGCAAAATCTGGCGCTTTTTTTAAATATAGTAAGACCAGATATTTTAAGAAAATGTCCAGATTTAGTTTTAAAATTTATTTAGAAAAAAAAACAATGGAAGTGTTGTTTTTGTTTTTTGTTGGAAAGTGTAATTAAATATATTTTCATATTGACATGGTATTTTAACTTTCAATTTTAATTCATGATGAAATGTGTCTTTCAGAGTTTATTGTATTTATTTACACAGTAGATTTTATTTAGCTTTTGTTTGTAGTGGCCAAATTTTACTTAAAAGCATTTAGTGAAAAAAAATTACTCATGTTTTACTAATCCCCCATGTATTTTTTTATATGGATAAAAATCATTTCCATCCCCCCATTTTTGTTTCATTGTTTGAGATATTTGAAAAATCATTTCTGTTCTCATTATTTGTGGGAAATGATACAAGTCAAACTTTTTATTTTATTTTATTATTATTATTTTAATTATATTTCATTTTTTTGTGTATTTGTTTAATTATTCTTAACAAAGGGAGCTAACTTTTGTATATTTGCCACAGAACAGTATATTAACTATTATCTCCCTTGAAATGGTTTAAGCAAATCGTGACAGTTCTGGTTTTTTTCCCCATTTTTTTTTGCAACTCTGTTTTTCTTTAGCAAATTTCTTTGGTTTTTATTAAAAATCACACAGTTAAATAGTTAAGTTGACAGTTTTTCCTTGATAACTGTATGAACCTAGTGACTATTAAGCTATCCATATAAAAATTAAAATATCACCTTAGTGCAGTAACTGGTTACATCCTTATAAAATTTTAATGGAAGTTAATCTTTTACTGCACTGACATGAATATATGTTTGATGGAAAAAAATCGTGACAATTTGTCAATATCTAGAAATATTAACTTACAATTCTTTGTTCAAGTAAAAGGAAATATCTGCCTACCTACCCACAGGTGTATTGTTTTGGTCAAAATAAAATAAAAAAAACATTTACTGGTATTAATGTAGTAATGAGACATAAAAGACGTTGCCTTGATTATTTCAAATAAACATTCTGTTAGTTTTTGTTTTGTGTAGATGTGCCATAAATTTTGATTGTTCTCTTGTAAACTTTTTTTTAGAAAGTGCCCTTCTCATTTCTGTATAGGCAAGACAGTGCTACCTTTATTGTTTTTAAGAACATGAAAGCTTGTGAGTTCTTCATATGTAACCCAACTCAGTTCTGAAGGAATGATAAGATAAAGGGATATTTAACTATATGACTAACCATTAACCCATCAACTTCAAGCCCAATGTCCTTCAGGTTTTTTTTTTAAGTTTTTTTTGTTCAAGAGTAAAGTTTTAGAAAAAAGAATATTACACATGTCTATTCCCTTCAATGAAAAAAAAAAACTTTTACCTTTAGCTTGCAGGCAACAACAGGTCCTACCCTTGTTGCCAGTAGAGACCAAGATCAGTTGTCACATTTTTATGGCTTCATCATGGTCTGCACTAGTTTTATATTCATTAAGTACATTTTTTTTTTGAAATTTTCTTTAATAAAAGGTAAATAGTTTTGTCCAGATTTAGGATGAGACAAGTCCCTTTCAAACATTTAATGTGGTTTGGGTAAAAGAGGACATTCTGTTCAGTTTAAATATTGCTTACTAGAGCTGTATATCATTACAGAAGGTTTTACAATGTAATATTTCACATGAATGAAAACGTTTTGGAATACATAATATAATCTTAATATAAGTTAAGTTTATGCTATGATTTATTTGCTTGTCTATTCCTGGTAACATGTTGTATTAAAAAAAGCATATTTTCATATGGAAGTGATTATAATGTTAAGACTTCTACATCCTGAGCGTATTTCAGTTAGTCTAGTAGATGGACTTTGTGCAGGGGCTATCTTTGTAAGTTTAGTAGATGGACTTTGTGGAGACATTATCTTTGTAAGTCTAATATACTGAGCTTGAAACAGAGGTGACCTTTGAAAGTTTGGTAGATGTACTTTGTACTGATGTGATATCTTATTAGGTCTAGCACTGATACAATGTACAGAAGTTCTTTGTAAGTCTTGATGTACTGTGTACAGAGGTTATCTTTGTAAGTCTAGATATACTATGTACAAAGGTTATCTTTGTAAGTCTAGTATATGTGCTATGTACAGAGGCTATGTACTATTGACAGAGGTTATCTTTGTAAGTCTTGATGTACTATGTACAGAGGTTATTTTTGTAAGTCTAGATGTACAATGTACAGAGGTTATCTTTGTAAGTCTAGTATATGTGCTATGTACAGAGGCTATGTACTACTGACAGAGGCTATCTTTGTTAGTCTTGATGTACTGTGTACAGAGGTTATTTTTAGCTCACCTGTCACAAAGTGACAGGGTGAGCTTTTGTGATCGCTTTTCGTCCGGCGTCCGTCCGTCCATCGTCCGTCCGTCGTCCGTCCGTAAACTTTTGCTTTAAATGACATCTCCTCATAAACCACTGAGCCAATTTCATCCAAAATTCACAGGAATGTTCCTTTGGTGGTCACCTTTAAAAATTGTTCAAAGAATTTAATTCCATGCAGAACTCTGGTTGCCATGGCAACCGAAAGAAAAATCTTTAAATATCTTCTTTTAAACAACCCTAAGAGCTAGAGCTTAGATATTTGGCATGAAACATCTTCTAGTGAGTGTCTACCAAGTTTGTTCAAATAAAAGCCCTGGGGTCAAAATTGGCCCCGCCCCAGGGGGTCATTGATTTCCCTATATGCATATAGTAAAAATTTAAAAAATCTTCTTTTAAAGAACCCAAAGAGCTAGAGCTAAGATATTTGGCATGAAACATCTTCTAGTGAGTGTCTACCAAGTTTGTTCAAATAAAAGCCCTGGGGTCAAAATTGGCCCCGCCCCGGGGGGTCATTGATTTTCCCTATATGCATATAGTAAAAACTTAAAAAATCTTCTTTTAAAGAACCGTAAGAGCTAGAGCTAAGATATTAAGCATGAAACATCTTCTAGTGAATGTCTACCAAGTTTGTTCAAATAAAAGCCCTGGGGTCAAAATTGGCCCCGCCCCAGGGGGTCATTGATTTTCCCTATATGCATATAGTAAAAACTAAAAAATCTTCTTTTAAAGAACCCAAAGAGCTAGAGCTAAGATATTAAGCATGAAACATCTTCTAGTCAGTGTCTACCAAGTTTGTTCAAATTAAAGCCCTGTGGTCAAAATTGGCCCCACCCCGGGGGGTCATTGATTTTCCCTATATGCATATAGTAAAAACTTAAAAAAACTTCTTTTAAAGAACCATAAGAGCTAGAGCTTAGGTATTTGGCATGAAACATCTTCTAGAGAATGTCTACCAAGTTTGTTCAAATAAAAGCCCTGGGGTCAAAATTGACCCCGCCCCAGGGGGTCATCCAGGGGGTCATAGATTTTCCCTATATGCATATAGTAAAAACTTAAAAAATCTTCTTTTAAAGAACCCAAAGAGCTAGAGCTAAGATATTTAGCATGAAACATCTTCTAATGAGTGTCTACCAAGTTTGTTCAAATAAAAGCCCTGGGGTCAAAATTGGCCCCGCCCCAGGGGGTCATTGATTTTCCCTATATGCATATAGTAAAAACTTAAAAAATCTTCTTTTAAAGAACTCAAAGAGCTAGAGCTAAGATATTTAGCATGAAACATGTTCTAATGGGTGTCTACCAAGTATGTTCAAATAAAAGCCTTGGGGTCAAAACAGGCCCCGCCCGGGGGGGGGGGGTCATTGATTTTCCTTATATGTGTATAGCAAAAACTTAAAAATCTTCTTTGAAAAAACCCAAATAGCTAGAGTTTAGATATTAAGCATGAAACATCTTTAAGTAAATATCTACAAAGTTTGTTCAAATAAAAGCCCTGGGGTCAAAACTGGCCCTGCCCCAGGGGTGTCATTGTTTTTAACTATATGTGTATAGTAAAAACTTTTAAAATCTACTTTTATAAAACCCAATGAGCTAGAACTTAGATGTTTAGCATGAAACATCTTCTTATGGGTGTCTTCCAAGTCTGTTCAAATAAACAAATAATAGCCCTTGGGTAAAAATTGGCCCGGGGGTGTGGAGGGCCTATATACAGGTGAGCGACCTCAGGGCCATCATGGCCCTCTTGTTGTAAGTCTAGATGTACTATGTACAGAGGTTATCTTTGTAAGTCTAGATGTACTCTGTACAGAGGCTATGTACTATTGACTGAGGTTATTTGTTAGTCTTGTAGATACACTAGTCTAGTACATGTGATATGTACAGAGGTTATGAACTTTGTACAGAGCTTATCTTTTGTATGTCTGGTAGCTGTATAATATACAGGGGTTATCTTTGCTTCTTTTAGATATCTACATCTGGAGGATATCATGAAATTCTAGTAGTTTAACTTGCTACAGTGGGTATCTTGTTAATTTAAGTGCTTCTTAACATCTACTTTACACAGAAGAGGGTATCTTGTTAATTTTTAGTACATCTGTACATCTACATCACTCAAAGGAGATTATCTTGTTAATTTAAGTACATGGTAACATCTACATCACTAAGAGGAAGGTATCTTGTCAGAGATTTACATATGGAGGGGGTATTAAATGAAGTCCAAAAGGTCAGTTTTAATCGTAGGGTGTCTCGTAAAGTCTAGAAAACATGTACATACAGAAGGATTAACTATCACTATTGCTTAAATAGTTTTGAGTTTATAGCAGTGTTAATTTAAAATCACTAGTAGACATTTATGAAATTGGTGTTGTACAACATGTGTTTTTATTATCCCGGTAAATTCTCGCCCAATCAACGACATTGTTATATCATTAATGTTGTCTTGTTTACAAAAGTGACAGTATTATTGTTTTTATGATAGCACTATTGAGTAGGCTTTTTTGTTAGCAAATATGAATTTTGTAATTTAGCAAATATTAAATTTTGTGATGAGAAAATATATGAATTTTGTAATGACGCATTTTTTTAAAAAATTTTGTTGCCTCTTAGAATGTGAGACTTCTTGTGTTGGCTTCCAGTTAACACAAGTCTTATATTTGAGGTGATTGTCTATGAACTTTGTCGTTTTTTTAGCAAATAATTGTTTCTTAATAATTGTTTCTTGATTCAGATTTGTTTTATGACTATATATGTTGTTAGTGGATCTGGAGTCAAGATTTTGTAAACTTGTGCTAAAAATGAGAGAGATTTGAACAATGAAGAATATTTTTCTTGTATACTTCAATACTATATAGAATTGTTAATCTGTATCAAAATTGCTAAAGGCTTAGAAGAACACTTTTTGCAATTTCTGTGACCTTTGAACCCATGGTTTGATAAAGATTGTTATAAAATCATGAAAACTTGTTTGTATAAATTGAACAGATTATACAAGAAGACATTGTGTACTTCGATAAAGTTAATGTAGAAATGTTTCTGGCATAGATTTTTAAAAGTTCCAACATAAGATTTGGAGTACTATGGGATGTTTTTTATTCAAGTTTGATATTTTCTACAGAGCTGCTAAAGCAACATTCCATGTGTATAAAGCCTGGGTTTGTTCCTGGCTGCTGAAATAATAGGGAAGGGGGAGCAGAGCTGGGGGTGGGGGCAAGTGTTTTTCAATGTAATTCTTAAGTTTATAGCACATACAGAAAGCAAATTTAACAGAATTTATCCCTTTCACTCTTTATAATCCCAGGTTTAACTGAATATCTTTAAAACTCTTTGTTTTGATAATGAACACGTAACTTTTTTAAAAAAAATAAAAATTTAAAAAACGTTTTCCAAAATTAAATTTCAAAAAGGAAAAAAATGGGTTGATGTCAAGGGGTTTAAAAGGGCATTCTTTCCCTTAAATATTGTTGTAGAAAAAGTGTTTAAAGGGTGTTCCCCGTAAATTAAATTAAAAATTCCAAAAAGAAAGGAAAAAATTATCCCCCCCCCATTTGTTGGGAAACTCCCCCCCTTTTAAATGTAAAATTTTAATAAAAGTAAAAAAAAACCCCCCCCATTAAAAAATTTTTTAAAGAAACCCGAAAACAAAACAAATTTTCTAACAAGTCCCAGGAAAAGGCCCAATGCAAAATAAAATTGTTGCTTATGAAAATGTTCTTGACATTGTGACCCCAAAATACAAATAAAAAACATGTGTACTGTTTAACAAATAAGTTTATAACTGCTTTGACAGAATGGATGGTATTATTAAACTCTCACAAGTTTTCAATCAAACAAATCCAAGCGGGGATATTAAATTTATGCCATCGATATACTGGGTCAATTCAGCTTAGGTGGTCATACAGTTTGATCAAGCTGTGTTCCTAAGGCTGCACCATTTTAGAAGTTTCTTACTGAATTCCCATTAAGGTCTAATGGAATGCTCCAGTAAAGTCAAAGAAGGACATTTAAGTCCATTTATTTAAAATATTTTAAATTGGGCAAAGATGAATGTATAATAAGTTGTTAAGGTAATAATAGTTTCTTTATTAGCATTTCTAAGTCTAACAGTATTGCTTATCTCAATAGGGAGTGCATTAGATTTGTAAGCTAGAGGTCGCTGGTTCGACTTTCGGTCTGGGCGAAATTTTACGCATCAATTGATCATTTTCTCTCACCTCTGATTCAGAAGTCGTATGGGATTATAGTAGTAATTGGTCACTTTTGGAGAAATTGGTAAATACTGATTTGTTATCCTGGAAAGCCACGAGATATGATCAAAAATATGTTGAAATTGTCATAAAATGGAGACAAATTAATAAACATAAAAACAAAACTAATTTGGATTTAACTATTCAAATTATGATGTTTCGTATTTGACTTATTTTTTCTGACTGCGTAAATGTGGAAACTGAAGGAAATTGTTGCATATCTAGTGACACAAATGTAATTAATGAAAAATAGATAAATGAAGATATAGTTTATGATGATAATAATAATAATGTTCTTGTTGTTGTTCAAGATGTTTTAAAATGATAACAAGGTTTTATATACAACAGCTGTATTGTATTGTTAGACAAACAAATGTTTTAGTATTAATTGTGACATGTTGATGTTTTCCCATTTTGTAACATGTTGATTTTCCCTACTCGGTCTAAATTCATCCAATTAATAATGCAATGTTGATTTTTAAGAACTTTAGGAGAATATGACCAGTGATATGTCAGTGTGTCATTGAACCAAACCAAACAAACAAACAAGCGATTTTTGTAAGGCAAAAAAGTATAAAAGTTTAAGGATGTATAGAAGTTTAGTTAAGATGGTGACATTGTTTAACATTCCATTTTATATTTGTGTATCTAAGATGGTCTCGGAAGTGCTGTTATTAAAGAAATTCTAAGTTAGGGTTATAATAAGTCTTTGCTTAGAAAACAGATGCAATAAGTTAGAACATGTTCAGGCGTAAATTTCTTCATTGTTGTTTGATTAAAACAGATTTTTTTAAGTATCAAATGCTTACTATTTTAATAAGTCACAATTTGAATAATTGTTGCCTGACTGTGAAAATAGTTTTTTAATAGAGAACAGTGCTAAAGTTTAAGAAGTGCTCTGGGCCCAAATTTTGTAATTTTATTTCTTTATTATTTGTATATTGTGGCCATCTAGTTATTGATAATATATGATATATATATTTGTATTTTGTCGCTAGAAAGATGGGAATACAGTTTTAAGGTAAACTTGATTAAAAGCTGAAAATTCAAATGTTTTGTGTTTTAAAATAGTAAAAACTACATGCCTGCTTTTATTGAAACAATTTTTTAGGCTTTCAGTAAGTTATGTACTATCGTTATTTTTATCTCCACTTTTGGAATAAGAAAGTGGAAGTATTGTCAAAACCCTCTCGTTGGTATTGGTTAACATTTTGGTTTAGGTTCATTTTCGTAGAAACTATTTTTTCAAAGGAAATTTGATAATGGATATGTATTGGTGTAATCTTTCTTATCAGTTGTGTGTGAAATTGAGCCACACTTTAAAATATAAAATCAGGTGACATTTTTACTTTTAACGGACGTTTTTTGCCTCATTATCAAAATATTAGACAAAACTTCTTCATACTATGGACCTAAGATTTGTTTGACATCAAAGCATTGGCAATATTCGTCTTTAAAACTGTATGCCCATCTTTTCTAGCAGTTTTTATTTTTGTTGTTTTGTTTTTGTTTTATAATTGTGAGTAACTCACAGCCTGTCTTTGTTAAGGTATTAAATTGTTGATTTTGATCATTTTTATATATAATTACTTGTTCAGACTAGATGAGGTTATAAAACTTTTTTCTGAGTTATTTCTCAAATCTCACGATTTTTATAGGTCAGTGCACGTTGTGTGGTCGTTTCTATCCAATCAAATACCTGAGATCTGAGTTTGATTTCACAGAATTTCTTTACAATCTTGAACCCAGTTTTCAATTTTATGGAAATGTAAATTTAACATTTTAGTAGGGTTTTTTTTATCTATTTTTCACTTTTATCACATTTTTGTTTGTTTTGATAAATTCAAGTCAATCTTTTTTGTACTTACAGTACAGAATCATACCGGTAAGTTACAGTTACTTTTAAGGAAGGGTAGTATACCCTCTCTTTCTTTGCTATCAGCAAGGTCAATGTAAAAATGCCAAAGTTCCACTGCTAGTGGTAAAAAGCACAGGTCTCTTTGAGGTCATCACATTTAAACTAATTTAATGTTCACATTAACTAATAATTAATGATATCAGCCGATGCTTGATTGATTAATATTGGATTTTAGGTTTTGGAAATTACAAAAGTTAAGAATTCAAAATGCTTAATAACAATATAAATAAGTATATGGTACATTGTTTCATTTTGGACGCTGCTTTTCTGTTTTTTCTTGCTTGCTTTTAAATTTTATCTTTTGAGATGTTTGTTATTTTTTAAGAAGTTTTTTTTTTAAAAATTATTTATAATCAGCCAAACAACTAGTTTTTTTCTCAGGTAAATGCATTCACAGCTTACAGGTTATGCCCCTTTTTTACCAAAGGTGCAGAGCTTATTCATCTCTCAGAAACTTGTTGATTATAATCTGAAGCCATAATCAAGGATCAGTGAAATTCTAGATGGCGATCTTGTCCAAATTATTCAATTTCACTATCCAGAATGTTACGAATTAAATTTAAAAATTTTGAACAAGGGCTTTGACAAACGCTTTTTAATTGACACATTGCTTTGATTTTTTCCGTTTGTTCTGTTTTGATTTGTATCAAATTACCTGTTAAAAGAGAATCTGAATCTGAAAACACAAAAATTCTGTTTAGAATATAGTTTTACCTCAAATTAAAAATATGGCATTTTTCACTATGAATATTCTTAGTTATATTCTTATTGTCAACATTTCTTTAAATATTTTTTCCCGTATTTGAGAGTTTTTTAAACTGTTTAAAGTAGTTCTTATAAAACATACAGTATACTTTTGGTGTTTTCTGTTTTTAGATTGCAATATATTAACATGAAATGATTGTTTATATTTTTAAAAGTGTATATCATCGTTTTAAGAGGGTTTTTTGACCGGTTCTGTACTTAAAGAAATTGTATTCAAAAAAAATATTGGAAACACAGTTTGTAAAAAAAATGATCATCATTCATTATTTATATCATGTTATTTTTAAAAAATCCATACATTCATTGATTGTTTCTTTTTTTTTAATATTTTACAAAACATATTGTTATTTAGTCACTTTACTTTTTTACGATTACAATGTGTGCCTACAGAAATTGATATACCCTATGAATATCACATATTTAAATACTGGCTGCTGCCTCACAGATTAATTTCATTACATGAAATTACAGAAACTTAAATGTTTTTCTTTCCCCCTAATTCACTCAAAACTGCAGAAGTATTGTAGTGTTCGATATACAAAATTTTAGCATTCTTAGATCATTTAAAATTACATAAAATGTACTATTTTTCATGGACCATGTTAAAATTAAAGTAACGTAATTCAGTGTATTCAGAAACCATGCAAATTTCAAAAAAAAATACTTTCTCTGTTTTCACCGAAACTGTAAAAAAAACTTTTACAAAAACTAAATTATATGTTTATAGAGATAATGCAAAATTACAAACAATAATAATTTCTGATTCTATGGAGTATGTAAATGGACAGAAATAGAATGAAATGTTCTAAGAATGTATGTGAAATGACATAAACAAAAGTAACTTTTTTCATACGGCTTATTAAAATTACAGAAACGGAAAAAATGTTACTAATCGTACCATTTACAGAAACAATATTTACTGTTTTTATCAACAAAGCTAAAAAAAATATATTGAAACTGAAAAAAGGTTGAAACATATAATGATAGTTTAAAGAAACAGATTGTTTAGAATTACAAAAAAACAGAATATTACATTTTATGTTTTTACAGGCCATTTTTAATTACAGGGTTTCTATGGATCATTTACAAATACAGTTTTTTACTGATCAAATGAAATTACAGAGGCAATATTGAATATTTTGTTTGAATGAATCAAAATTGCTCTTGCAAATCATCTGAAATTAAAAAAAAAACTGATTTTCATGTGTTTTCAAAGACAAAGAACGTCAACTTTTTTTCATGTGTTTTCAAAGACAAAGAAAGTTAACCTTTTTTCATATGTTTCAAAGTAAGTTAACTCTTTTTCATTTGTTTTCAAAGTAAGTTAACTATTTTTCACGTGTTTTCAAAGACAAAAAAGTTGTCTCTTTTTTTAATGTGTTTTCAAAGACAAAGAAAGTAAACTCTTCCATATGTTTTCAAAG